CAGGCCCCCAACTCGCATATTTGTTGTAGTCTTTTGGGTCATTCATCATTGGGCATAGACAAACAAATCCCCTAGACCAACAGAAATATTAAGTGTTTACTTTTCATATTCGTAATTTTTTTGTTCTATTTTATTTTGTTGTTGTTTTTCTTTATTTTTATGTTTTGTTGTTGTTTTCTTTGTTATATTCAGCATTTAGGTGTTTGTTTTATTTTATTTTTCAGTTTGTTTTTCTATTTTGTTGCGAAATGTCTTTATGTTTATCTTGAAGCTAAAATTCTACACAACAATTAGCATTTTGTTATTGCAACGCACGAATAGTGAAAAAATATATCTAAACAAGGGCATACAAAGGGGCAGAAATATTTTATACTATTGAAATACATGCACTTAAATTTGTTGCGTTGTGTTCAGTTGTTTAGTTACTTACTAACTTGGGTTTGCTTTGCTTTTCTTTGCTTTGCTTTGTTTTACATCTTTCGCCTTCTCCCTCTCTCTCTCCTTCTCTCTCTCTCTCTCCTCTCTCTCTCTCTCTCTGTCTGTCTCTCTTACTTCTTTCTAATTACTCTTGTATTTGAAGGATTTTCTTTCGCTTCGCTTTTCTTTTTCTTTTGTTTTGCTTTTTGAACTAGTCTAGTCTAGGGTATCAACTAGGACGTTCCTATACCATTGCCGTCTCTTTCACGCCTTTATACAAAATATTCTTGTACACATTATAATTTAGTTTGGTTTACGGTTTCACTCTCGGAATTCCACTTGGTAAATTCTCAACGCTCTAGCTTGAGTGGCAACGTGCTTAAGTTTTTACACAAAATGGAGTTCAGAAAGTTCCCTTGGAATTTGACTAAGAAAAAAAAAACTGATAAAAAAAAAATAATAATATCCACTCGACCGTAGGTCACAGAGCAGAGGTACAAATTATTAACGAATAATTTGCATAGGTGGCAAAGGTGCCTTCAAATATTAATAGGATGGGGACTGACTGCTCGCAGTCACGCCTAATCGCGCAGTGCCCTCTGTTTGGGATGCTTCTTCTGGCTGCCGCTGCTGATGACTTGGGTAGCAGCAACAGCTGGCGGCAGGTGGCGCGACTTCTTGTGCAGCCGCTTGTGATAGCTCTGGGCGAGTGAGTTGACAATGGAGACGACGAAATAGCACACCATGCCAATGACAAAGGTCTCAAAGACTTTGGACAAGAGATTCGCGGAATCGGCGCTATTGCCGACGCTGCCGCCGGCTGTGTTATTGCGGCTACGTTGCTGTCTGTGCAGGCGCTGCTTCTGATTCTCGAGGAACGCCTTGAAGGGCTGTTGCAGCTTGCGCCCAAATATCGGCACCGTGGCAATCAGATCGACAGCGCGTTCGATGAGCGTCTCATTAAAAGCAATAATCACAAATATCTTCTGTATATGCATCTTGATGATGGCCTTGCCAATCAGCGTGGCTCCAAAGAACGTCCAGAATGGCACCAGAAAGTGGCCGCACGTGATTCCAGCCAAATCGAACAGCGGATTGGGAATCTATGAAATTGCACATAAGTTGAATAATATCGAAAATAGCTGGAATCATTATGGACATACGCTTGCACAGGCCAATATACCAAAGAAACCGACGCGTTCGACGACGCGCTCCATGAACAGTTTGCCCCTGTCCATGAGACTGAGGTTCTTCTGATTCCGTTTCGCATTTAGCGCCTCGAATTCGGCCAGCTCCTCAGCATCATCCGGATCATAGCCGGACATGCGTGCAGCCTTGGCCATAAAGTACGGCGGCAGCTCACCCAATGCAGTTCCGGCGCCCCACAGGAACGCCTCCAGACGCACCTTGGACATGATGCTCCAAATATTGGGCATCTTCTTGAAATATGGCTCCTCCGGACAAACGATGCTGCAAATATTCCAAATAAATTGAGATGAGCTAATGTACAAATGTGAATTCAATATAAATTAGCGAAACTAAAATACCTTTACTTTACTTGGGAAAACCTAAAATGAAAACTATTTTGTATAGATATAATTAAGGAGCCTTCGACAAGCGAACAAGCTGTAGGCTACGCTGAGCTGCTGCTTTATATATGAATATAGCATATGAAGAATACATGCATATGTGTATCTGTATAGCCTATTCACAAGGAGTACCTCAGTTCGTATATTTAGGATTTGCATACCTGTTTGTTATCTAAGGCAGTTTGAACTTATAATATAATTATATATGTGAATACATTTAGGAGTAATTCCAATAGTAAGTCTATCTTGATTATATGGATATACATATATATATATATATATAGTTGTTCCACTTACTCGTCGGGATATGGTGGCTGCGGGAATTCGAGTGAGTTGCATTCGTAGCCAGCCAACGTGACACTGGCTATGTGGGGGCCCAGATAGAGTAGAAATGTGTGCAGGCCGGTGCCCAGGCCCACAGACGAGAGAACGCCCAATCCGAGCCAGTATACAAAGAACCAGGTGTTGCGATGCACCAGCTCAATGATCTGCTGATGCGGGCCATCGATTTTATAAATTACGCTAAATACAAGCCCTAATACTATTAAAACAGCCAGCAGTCCACGTTGTCGCAGCAAACTGAAATCGATATTGGTGTGCATTAGTTGAAATATGATTTCGCTTGGATATCATGCAATCAATTGTGAGACTCACCTGCTGCCCCAAGAGCACAGCAGTTCAATCAGTTCAAGTGCACAATATTTGGACGTCTGCAATGGGCGACGCCAGAGGACGAGCTGGGAGCGCTCCAAACGCTCTTTCTCCTTCTGCTGCTTGTCCTTTTTGTTTAGCTGCGTTTTGCTGCCGTTGCCCCCATTGTTTGGCTTTGTGTGTGTTTGCATTTTGACAGCAGTATTGATGCTGCTGCTGCTGCTGCCACTGCTGCTGCCGGTGCCGGTGCCGGTGCTGCTAATTGTAAATGAGGTGTTGCTGTTGGAGTTGCTGCTGGAGCTACTGCTGCTGTTGCCCTTGGCGCTGCCATTGGGCGTCTGCTGTTTCTTTTGACTCTTGCTGCTCTCGTCCTGTTTGCGCTGGCGTGTGTTACTCGCATGGCTCGCTGACTCCTTTTTGCTGTGTTGTGACATTGAACCAACTTTTTGTGTCCTTAGCCAGCTACTAAGCGATACAATATCGAAAGAAAATGGAAAAAAGTCAAAAATCAATAAAAACAATCAAGCAAATGCTTAACAAATTTAAGTTCAATGGTTTAAAAATGCGGCAGTTGCGCTTTAAGTGTTGCCAGATTGTTGCTTTTGTTTATATCCAGCCGTTGCCACACTTCTAGCCGAGCTGATCAGTGATTTCAAACGTGCGTGAAAAATTCGACATGATTAGCCAGCTCAGTTTTCACGTTATACTCTTATTATGTTAAAGTTGAATTAAATGTTTTAAAAAGCTTTTCTAATTTGTTGACCTTTATTTCAATACAACGGCTAGATCAGCTATGATTCTACCGACTGTTGCTAGATTTATCTGGTACAACTTTTTATATTAGTTGGCAACGCACAAACTAAAAATACGCATGTGTGTGTGCGCGGGAAAAGCACAACAACAGTAGATTATCATACGATACTTGAGCACCAATAAAACGAATCCACATAGCCCGCTGCAAAATGGAACACATACACAAGCACACGTATACTCTGAATGTGTGTTTGGGTTCTTTAAAGCAGAACAACGACAACAAGAACCAGCAAGCATGCTGATCGCCAGCAAAGAGTGGACATTAACACACTTTTATTTTCGCTCTTCATTATGTGACACGCATACACGCATGTAGAAACACGCATGTACACGTACACGTATTCATTTGTGTGTATACAATCAAAGGGTCGTCGTGCACGATTACTTCTTAATCAGCTGTTTGTCTGGGTTTTGTTGTTGCTGTCTGCCTAAACATACACACACATACACCCAAAGGTGTACACATACATATATTTAATTCTTTAATGTGTAGTGTGGGCAAAAAGTTTGCTTAGCTCGTAAGACCCACAACTGCATAAGTCAGCACGGTTGCATTTGTGCCGTTAGTCGCTGTTGTTCATTTTATATATTTTGGGGTGGCAAATGGCGCAGAGACGTCGAAGCCAATATGCCAATACTAAAATGAACAACAACAACAGGAGCGAAGTCAGGGCAACGGCGACAAAGAATAAATGCGTCACAGAAACAAAGCACTAAACAAAAATCAATTGCATTCGCTGCAATTATTTGCCATGATAACAACAAAGACATCGACAGCAATAATTATAATATAGCGTTATGCATAAGTTTTATTGCACTCTTTTTTATGAGTTGCACTTGACAACTGCAGCAATAACAACCATTCTAAACACTAATAACACAGGAAAAAAAAAAGTCTATTAAGCACTTCTTCACTGAGGCCGCTGCGGCGCCTGTTTTGTAATAAGCCGTCGCTTTGTAAACTGGCAAAACATCGTTATAAGTTCCACATATTTACCTGATTTCTGTGTAGAAGTTCGAATATTGGGTACGGAACCGAATGTTACTTGGTCAGTGACTTATTTGAAGTGGAGTACTGTATTTGTCTGACATTACAACAATAACTTAATTTTGAATAATTGTGCAAAGCCTACCTACGCCTGCATAAAAAAACACACGTCTAAACTTCGGTTAAACAACAGACTCTGTTAATGTTGTACTCAGAATGGTTATGTTATTGCCAAAAACATCTGCTAAAGCACTGCTGTTAGCTAAAATAACATTTCAGCTAAAAATTCAAAAAGCAGGGCTGGAAAGACAAATCGGCACAGGGCTGCACAGTGCTATCCCTGGACTTCAGTCAAATCAAATTTAATCGAATAAAGCACTTGAGCAAAAATATAGAAAGCAAGATTCAAGTACGCAGTATATGTGACCTTAATGGTCATTGTTCTTTCCCCTCACTTGCCTGGCCGATAAAGACAAAATAACAGCTGATGAAACTGTCAAGGCCATGACGTGTTCAATAACAATTAGCCAGGATCTCTGTAGTTTTTTTTTTTTTTTTTTTTATATATTTTTATTTATTTAATTAATAGTAGATTAATTAATGTACGCTTAACCAAGAGAGTCCTATTCGTAACCATACACACTAAATATGCACAAAATTTTGTTGTATTATTATTACAGGAAAGAACAAAAGAGCAAAAAAAACAATATATATATAAAAGATATAGGTAGGTAAAGGTAAGGGAAGTTAGAGTACCTTACAAAAACATTCAAATTGCAGGGTACACAATATAAAGGCAAAACTCAATGAAATAGTGCCAAGTGAATAAATTGTTAAAGCATAGGTAAATTTGAAATACTAGCGCGTATAGAAAATGTTTATATAAAATAATTTTCACATAACATTTGTCGTTTTCCTCTTACAATTCATTTTTTTCTTGTTTTTTGAAGATCATTTTAATATTTTTTTTCTTTATTTGTTTTTAAGTTTTTGTTTGTTTGTTTTTCAAGTTTTTGTTTTGTTTTTCTTGCATTCAATTTTTTTACCGCCTTAGACCCGCACAATTTGTTTAGCTATCGTTCCTTTTTTTTTGTGTGTGATTTTTTGCATTTTTTTTTTTCAACTGCATGCTAAACGTGAAATATATATTATATATACATATATATGTTTATATATATATATATGTATAGATATATATATGTTTTATATAGAATTTATGTATAGGTTGTTGCCTGATGTCAGAACGCCTGCCACTATTAAGAATGCAGTCCTTGTCTACTTCTCCATGCCATAGACGTTCTCATCGGAGTAGGCTATGTACAGGAAATAATCCTCCTCATGATGCTCCTACAGCACGCAGAAAAGTAACAGATAGGTGGGAGAGAGAGAGAGAGATTAGATAATGATGTGAACTGGAGACAGATTGTCTAGTTTACCTGGTACAGTGAGCCCATTGTTGCTGATGTTGGGGGAATGACGTTATTGACGAAAAAGAAGAGTGCATCCTCGGGACGCAGGTGAATACGCTTGCGTATAAGGAAATAGAATTGCCCAACGGTCAAATCGGATGGCACCAGATACTTCTTTTTGTCCAAATCACCAATGCGCGCCTTTGGTGCTTTCTCAACAATCACCTGCAAAACAAAATTAAACGAAATTAGAAACCCATGAAATAAAAAATTTTGTATTGTGTTAACTGATCAACTATAGAGTGCAACAGATATCAATGTTGATAGGAGATATGTAATTATATTCTTAAGAGAACTCGGCAGGAAGATGAGAAGAATTGCTTCTCTTTAGTCAATTAGCAGCGGCTGTTAGTCTTGGCAGGAGCTTCAAGCAGTTACAGTTATGAAAACAAAATAAACTGCGTCTTCAAGAACGTGAATACGTGACGACATACCGATAAATCAAGCAACACGTATCAATATATATATATACAGATATACATATGTGCATGGCTGTGTGTGTGTGTGTTCGCTGTGTGCACTCATCAATAATTATTTACTAACGGTAATTGCATTTTTTTGTGTAACAAGGCGAGCACAAAGGAAACAAAAATGCAACAAATTGGCATTAGCGAATGTTACGAATATGTATGTATTTTAACATTGCTGTTAATTTCAGCTTAGCCAAATTGCCAAAAGAAGCTGCCCTGGGGTCATGTCACTGCCCGTGTTCAAGGTGAAGGTGGCATAACTAGCTACATACATATAAGTATTTCTATTCTATTTATGTATATATCGTATGTATTTATGTATATGTGCGTATGTTTGTATGCATGTATATGTATGTATATAATTATACACCGACCAGCTGGCCTTGCCTGCATTTGGTTTGTCGTCAGATGTTATTAAACGATTTGTGCTGTGTTGCTTGCCAAAATACTAAAGCAAGCAAAGCACCAAAAACTGTTGCAAATTATAAAATTGAAAACAAAAATAAAGGGAAAGAAATAAGCAATAAATTGTAAACGATGCGTGTTAGGGCGAGAGGAGAACGGAGATCCCCTGCAGTGGGGGGAGGGAGATCGAACTGGATGATAAATCAAGGCGGAGGGATAAAGCGAGTGAGAGAGAAAGACCTTTCGGAATGTTGAGTATGTGTTTACCTTAGCAAAAACCATTGCATATGGTGAAATAGACAAACAAAGAGAGCAAATTGCTATGACTAATTATGGACTCAATGCAAGCGGAAAAACAAAACAACAAATTTTGAAATGAGCCAAATTCTAGACAACAGCGTCTGTGTGTCTTTACTTCTGTTTTTGTTTTTTTATGCGCAGTTTTAAAGCAGTCTGGTCTGTTTTTTTTTTTTTGCAAGTTAACAAACAAAAACAAAAATACACTTTTATATGAAATCAAAAACACGATAGGCCCGTTGGCCGTGTGCTTTGACACAGGGGCTGACGCTGTTTATTTGTATGTGTGTGTGTGTGTATTGGTGTTTGTGTGGGTAGGGTGAAGAGGGAATCGAAAAAAAAACCAGCCAACTGAAAAACAACAACATCACAACAGCTGAGCAAGCGAGTCAGCTAGCAGCTCGTTCTCCCGCACATACATACAAACACATATATATATATATATATATACAGCCTGTGAACAAAGCGTTTGTGTATGTACGTGTGCACATGAATTTGTTTGATTTTCACTTGAGATTTGGCAAGTGTTGACTATGACAAGTGAATTCATTTTTATACAGTATATACGAAAAACTATCGTTTTTCGCAAAACGTACTGAAATGGGTATAAAAATATGAACAATTACTTCTATGGACAATATGCGCATTATTGATTTTCCCTGCTGAGAGTATGCATGTGTGTGTGCAGCAATAACAACACACAACCAAATAGAACGACGCAAAACAATACACACATACAAAGAGCTCGCACATACATCCATACACACACACACACACACACACACACACACACAACACAATGAACACACTCATATATGAAAATAAATAAAAAAAATTTTTTTTTACTTACGGGTACACGGTCTGGATATTTGCGTCTAATCTTGTCGCCTTCGGCGCGACGCTTCTCAAATGCATGCTCCTCTTTGTATTGGAACTTCATGATTGTATTCGTTAAAAAATTGTATAAGAAACGCAGTTTTCACTTTATTTTTTACACTAACAACAAAAAATCTAGCAGTCGCTCTCGTTTGTGGTTCACTTATGTTGGCTGCGCACTTCAGTATGACCAATCTACATGTAATCAAGAAGGCCAAAAATGATTCAAATGCTAAATTTAACGTTCAGTGTGGCTGTAGATTTTTAATGTCAAATTACTGTATAAATACTAAGAAAATACTGAAATGTTTCTTGTGAAGTGTCATTCACCAAAAAAGGAAAATAGTGTTTGAAAGCAGTGAAGAAAATCAACAATCGGTCCGAGAATCGATAAGTTTTACACATCTCGAATATTTTGTTCTTTTCCTCCGTGGTTTTCGACTAATAAGATGGCTCCAACTGTAAGTGCTCGTAAAAATCGTAAAAACGTTGCGCCATCATAAGTAGTTTAAAGTAAATAAGTGTATAATATGAATGCCAAAGATGTGTTTTGTGCACATGCAATGATATTTCTCCATTAACACTTATGATGGTGTAAATAAACTTCTGAACTTATGTAAAATGTATAATACAAATTATATATGCATGTCCACAGGCCAAGACCAACAAGGGTGATACCAAGGCTGCCAAGCCGGCTGAGAAGAAGGCTGCTCCAGCCGCAGCCAAGGGCAAGGTTGAGAAACCAAAAGCCACTGAGGCTGCCAAGCCAGCAGCGGCTGCTGCTAAGAACGTAAAGAAGGCGCCGGAAGCCGCTAAGGACGTGAAGGCGGCCGCAGCGGCCAAGCCCGCGGCCGCTGCTAAGCCAGCTGCCGCCAAGCCCGCCGCTGCTAAGGAGGCCCCCAAGAAGGCACCAGCTCCTGCTGCTGCGGCGCCCAAGAAGGACGCCAAGGCAGCGCCCGCTGCCACCAAGAAGGCAGCTGCCGCCCCAGCATCTGCACCGCCAGCTAAGAAGGCAGCTCCCGCTGTCGCCAAGGCTGTACCAGCAGCAGCAGCTGCTGCTGCCGCCGCCGTCCCAGCTGCTGCCGCTACAGCCAAGCCCGCTGCTAAGCCGGCTGTTGCCAAGCCCAAGCCTAAGGCTGCCACACCCGCAGCGCCCAACAAGGTTGTCAAGAAGAGTGTGCTCCGCGGTAAGGGCCAGAAGAAGAAGAAGGTCTCGCTGCGCTTCACCATCGACTGCACCAACATTGCCGAGGATCACATCATGGATGTGGCCGATTTCGTAAGTACCCCTCACGCCGACGTGATTAACTCCAAATCCCCAATCACCATGGAGCTGGTGAACATGATCTCATTTGGCAATTGGCAACGCAGCGACGCCTGTCTTACCACACCAAGCTTTCCATTGCCGCAAACTGCCCGAGGCACTGGATAAAAAGTGTGGTTATAGTAAACTATTCCACTAGCGATTAAACTGCAGTTGGTCCTGAATGGCAACTACGGTTAACAACTTCTGGAACACTTCGTATTTTAATCTTCTAATTGATAATTCGCTTATCAATTATCGATGATCAATGATCTCTCCAGAATGGCTTTTGTTATTCATTTCTTCACTTGTGAAAACCTTTTCTGACAAAGGGGCTCTGGACACTGCACAACGGGGTAGCCACTGATCGCCAGTACCGGGTCTGGCCAGTTGGTGCAACCGTCTGTGAACAGCGTCAAGTCGTGCTATGTGTACCGCCACGTGGTGGGCCCTGGGTTGTACGTGCCACATCCGTGTTACGTCGAGCCGAAATTCATAGTGCGCCCTGCTAATGGCGTGTGCAACAAACTAACTGTGAATTATCCAATTCCAAAAGTTTGTTTTCTGCCACGCTGCAGGTTTCTCCACGAAGCAAAAAACCAATAGAAATGTCTAAAGCCAATTCTAAGAGGGGGGAAACCTCCTCACATTTAAGTTAAGGCTCGCTGGCCTTTTCCCAATTTAGCAGGGCGCAAAGCCAAAGTCAAACAGCGCCTATAAGGAACAGGTAATACAGAGTTAGTTAATGCTCCAATAACAATATAAGATCTATATATACGTTATATATGCAGCTGCAGTCAAAAAAATAGTATGATTAATATGAATATTATGATTAATATATATTTGTATTAACTTAGCTATTGGCATTTATATTTAGAACTCATTCAAACGACTAGTTTTATGACCGCAGCTGTACATATATATCTATATTCCTCCATGATATGATATATTTAGGCCACGCCGATTTGCCGTCAGAGAGTGAAATCCCTTGGGATAGTCGCTCTGATGGCAGTGTACTCAGTGGCATATTAAAAAATTGGTCACTCTTCTTAATTTGGGTCTTTTGTTCGCATTCCATTGACTTTTGGCCTTAACAAAGAAAGAGACAGCACTACTCTGCGTGTGCATCTATTGCTTTCGCACATAGGCTTGTGCCACTGTTCTAATCGATGTTGACTTTCGTTTGGGTTCCCGCAGGAGAAGTACGTGAAGGCGCGCCTCAAGGTGAACGGCAAGGTGAACAACTTGGGCAACAATGTCACCTTCGAGCGGTCCAAGATGAAGCTCCATGTTAGCTCCGATGTGCACTTCTCCAAGGCCTACCTCAAGTACTTGACCAAGAAGTACCTGAAGAAGAACAGCCTGCGTGATTGGATCCGTGTGGTTGCCAACGAGAAGGACTCGTACGAGCTGCGCTACTTCAGAATCAGCTCCAACGATGATGAGGATGATGACGCGGAGTAAAGATGCAACATTACCAATAACAACAACAAACAACAAAAACCATCAACTTTTTTACAAGCTCTGTTTTTAAAAGATGAAAAACAAATTGTGGTTTATCCAATTACTGAAAAAAAAAAAAAATAATAAAGTTGTTTAAACTTTACGCCAAATGTTTTATCTTTTATTGGTGGTTAATTCATTTTAAAGTGTTTTTTCGTTGAGTCCTAGACTATATATAACACTTGTTAAGCTATTCAGATTAAGTAACGTTTTTTTTTTTTTTTTTTTTAATTTTCATCTCAATAGCTGTAATAGCTGCAGCCTGCTATAAGCGGTCATTATAAATGGATTCAACTGTATCTATTCTCGGTCGGCAACCATAATTCAATGTAAATGGGCCTTAATATACTCTCTGCGCATGATAGCTCGAATCACTGTTCCCAAATGCTGACAAATCTCCTGAGCCCAGAAGAGTCGGACCTAGAAAAGGCTGAAATAAAAATTTGAAAAATTAAGAGCTATTTGCTCTGACTTTTTTATACCCTAAACCCATTGAAAATGGGAAATCAGGGTGTAATGGTTTTGTTTTTCATTAATATTTAAATCCTTCACACTTCATTTGGAACAATTATTTTTACTCGTTCGCGGAGTGGAAGTGGGTGTATTGGCCTTTTGGAACATTCCGACCGTATGAACGCGAATCAAACGCATATAGGAACATATAGTCAGTCGTTGGCAGCCTCGTCTTATTAAGGGTTGAGTTTTTCCATATGAAAATTGGGGCCATGGCAATTCGGTAAATATTAGTATGCTAACTACATATGTATATAGAATGACAAAAGAGAAACTTGGATGGATATATGAGTATACACATACATACGTATATACACAAAGACTCGCATTGACGAATCAAGACCAATAAAATATGCATACATATGTATATCACATATATGTACATACGCCTACGAGGAGCTCGACAATTAGGTAGAGAGCTGTCATCCCACTTGAGTAAGATCACGAACCCTACAACACATAGACTGGACAAGTAGTAAGGTTAGTGGTAAGATCATCTAAGGATCGTTGACTAAGTCCGTTCACTGGGGGCGTGATATCATATTCATGAATATGGAAATGGGAGTACTAAAATGCATACATATGAATATGTGAGTATGAGCATAAATATTGATTAAAATATGGATATTGATATCATTATTATTTGCAGGTAAATGTGTTTAGCTTTACTTAGGATCTGGTTGGTTCCACTGAAGTAATATAATATGTACGATCTATCTACCTATATATATATATATATATATATATATATATATATAAATTTCAGTTTCACCAGAGACACATTTGAAATATGGAAAACTGTCATAATTGTGCAATTACGTTAATTGAGCCAAACAGATTCTAAGTATTTCAAGTCGGAATTACCTGGAAATAAAAATGATGAAGCACCTAACAGGTGGGTTTGCGTGATTGATTGCGTGATTTTAATTGCTAATCGAGTGAAAGTTGTGCAAACTAAAGGCAGATGTTTTGAGAGAGAGAGAGAGAGACAGAGATATCGCGAGAGAGAGCGATAATTGATAAATCGTTGGGTGAAGAAAAAGACCAGCTGGAACCTTGGAGTGCGGCGTGTTGTTAAAGCTTTTTATTGTATCAATTAATCAGAACAACGAAAACTTTTTTACCAATAACAAGAGACATTCATCGTCGGTACATTAAAAAAAAAAAAAACATAAACAGAACAGAACAAAAGTGGTACATTAAATAGAGTGTGTGATTAAAAGCAGCTAGCTAATAGTGCTAACTACATAATAATTAATTAGAGATTATACAAGAAATACTGTTACGAGGGGTGTGGAGTTAGATCAACATTCGTTTTGTTGTACAAGTAATAACAGTTTTAAGGAGATTCACAGATTCGATCGGAATAGCTGCCTCATCATCAACATCATCGTCATCGTCATCGTCATCGTCATCATCGGCGTCATCATAATTATCTTCTTGGTCAGCATCACATTTGAAGGCCGTCAGGCGGGGTTATCTATAGATAACAAGTTACGAATACTATACGAACGAATACTAGTTAACAATGCATATTAATTGAATACAAAAATACGCTGCTATAAAGCGAGCCATCTCTATATATATAAATATGTGTGTGTGTAAGTGGGTGTGGGCGTGGCCGTGGGCTAAATAGGTGCAAAAGCGGACTATTGGAAACATTTGCAGCTAATTCAATTCTAATTTGCAGCCTTTGCCAAGTGGAACAGAAGCCCACCAAGCAGGCCAATAGACATGGCAAAGCTGGAGACTTGCAACTGAGCTCCGCCGTTGGTGTTGGAGCGCACGGCTGCCTGGTCGGGTGGCAGCATTGCCGGCGGCGGCTGATTGGTGGCCATTGGTGCCAGCGGCACGGGCTCAGCGCCGGGTGCGGCGGCTGGTGGCGGCGGTGCCGGATAGCAGGCGATCTTCTCGACTTCGATCATCTTGCTGCTGTCTGTCGGATCTGTTTCGTTGATTTTGGTGGGCACACAAATGATGCCGCCCGGTGCCGGCGGTTGTTGCGCTGCGTCAGTGCCATTGGCCAAAGGGGCCATGGGGGCCATTGGTGCCAGGGGCGCCATTGGCGGTGCGGACTGTGCATCGGTGGCGTTCATTGGGGCAGCTGGTGCGCCCGCTGCATTGATGACAGTGGTGCCATCGCTGGCATTCACAGGCACGCCGTTGTTGATGATTATGATGCGATCCTGGCCAGCAGCAGCGGCTGGTGCAGCCGCCGGTTGCGAGGAGCTGCCACCAGATGGAGTCAACGCGTGACCAAGCAAGGCGCCGCCCAAGCCACCAGCCAAAAGACCAGTGCCTGAAACAGTGGATTATGAATCATTCGTACTGTGAATTCAGTTGATGCACTTACCGAAGCCCAAGCCGGAGGAAGATTGCTGCGGTGGCTGCGATAACAAAACGGCGCCCGGTGGTAGAGCTGAGCCAGGCTGCACGTACACAGCGCCTGGTGGGGCACCGGCAGGCTGATGATAGCCGCCAGCGGGGTAGCCACCACTTGCTCCATTCATATAGCCGCCATGAGCCGGATAGCCACCAGCAGCTGGATAGCCGCCAGCAGCTGGATAGCCACCAGCAGCCGGATAACCGCCAGCAGCGGGATAGCCACCAGCAGCCGGATAGCCACCAGCAGCTGAATAGCTAGGAGGTGCTCCTGCATGCTGCTGACCATAATTGTTGGGAGTTATGGGCTGATGCACATTGGAGTGGGCACCACCAGCCGGGGGTCCTTGCGGCACATTCCAGCCAGGCGCAGGCGGTTGGGCATTGGGTGGTCGATTCGGTTGGGAATTGTAATTGGAATAGCTCAGTTTGGCGGCATCCGCGTGCGAGTTGCCACCATTGTTACTGGGATTGCTGTAGGATTGGGTCACATGGCCGGAATTGCTGCTGCTGGATGACGTTTTCCGTTGATTGCTGCCTTGGTTACGGCGGGCATCCACAACATCGAAGCCGTGCGTCAGCAGCAAAGCAAATAAGGCTACGGCGACAATTGCGCACTTGGAAGCAAAAGCCATCGTTTAACGATTTTCTTTTCTTTTTCTATATACTATATATATATATAGTATATATGCTATATATTAGCTGGCAATGCTGGCAACGACAATAACATGTAAATTGGGCAAAATATTAGTATATTAGCTTGCAGGGACAGTCAATCATGCGATCAAATACGAAACGTTAACAATAAAATTCAATATATGTGCATGCTAATTACCAAAACTTGTTTTGCCCGCTCAGTAACGGCTATTGTTGTTCTTGTTGTTGTTGCTGTTTATTTTTTTTGCTTAACGTTTATTTATACACAAAGATTCCGCGAATTTCATCAGCGCTTCGAGCGTCAAGCGAGGTTTACAAATGATGCGAAACTCAACTTGAACAGCGAATCAACAGCGTTATTCAATTTATCGATTCGATACTATGCATTCCCAGTCGGCGTTGCCAGCCGTCGGCAAGAAACTGCGCAAATTATCCGATAGTGCCAGCTGTTTCGATGCACTTTTAACGTGCGAAGCAATTCAAATTGATTAATTTGCAAGTACCTGTTGCTAATAGGATCCGAATATTTAATTAATGAACGAAACCAATAGTATATTATATTCTAACATAAGTTATATTATAAATATCACTTTGGCAAGAAACTGCATTCAAATTTATGGATTTCGTAATATATTGCAATTCAAATACCATACATTGATGATAATTAAAGAAATTCATTCAATAATGTTGTACATATCAGCTTGACTGCGATTTCTGAATTAGTCGTACGATTTCATATATAAAATCTTATTTTAGTGCTTCTGGTGCATCTACCGCAAACGTATCGTTATTCTCCCCTGTTGATGGCAGCGTCCGCCCCTCGCGTCATCGATAACATACCGATAATAGGCATATTACAAGCCGATATATCAACAATCCAGCCGGCAACGGCAATAACTTCAACTATATTTTTACAATATTTCGTATTAAGCTGGAAGTGCATACATTTATAAACGATTGCGATCAAAAGGTGGCTTTTAGTTAATTGGCCCTAATTAAATTTAGGCAATAGCGTGCGCAGATCCGGCGCCAAGGGAGAGCAAACGTGGGGGAGTACGTGGCACTGGAGATGATGTTCTGAATAGCTGGCAATAAACAATAATTAGTTAATTATAACAATTACGACGTGTAGCATTTGCAGCTATGAGTGCCACGTTACGTTACCGCGGCGATAAAAGCAATTTGCTAGAGTTCGCCAAGAACTTGGATGCCTTCAAAAAGGTGCCGGAGAAATATACGGAGACCACAGAGATTGGGGGCACACGTGAGCAAAATGCATTGATTCCCGCACTCCTGTTATTCGATTATACTAATAATTATTATTAAATTATTTGCAGTCTCGCTGCTAAGCCGGCTGCTCATTGTGTATCTCGTTTACACGGAGCTGCGCTACTATTGGAATGAGACGGAGATTATTTACCAATTTGAGCCAGACATTTCGCTGGATGAGCAGGTGCAGATGCATGTGGACATTACGGTAGCCATGCCGTGCGCCTCGCTCTCTGGCGTTGATCTGATGGACGAGACGCAGCTGGATGTGTTTGCGTACGGCACGCTGCAGCGCGAGGGCGTCTGGTGGCAAATGTCGGACGCGGATCGTCGTCACTTTCAGTCCATGCAGATGACTAATCATTATTTGCGCGAGGAATATCACTCTGTGGCTGATATACTCTTTAAGGACATACTACGCGAACGGTCACCGCCCAAGGAGAGCGATACACAGTCAGACGCGGCGGCACCGCCGCCACCGGGTGCACTGCAGCAGCTGCAGCAGATTTCGCAGATGGAGTCCAAGTACGATGCATGCCGGCTGCACGGCACATTGGGCATCAATAAAGTGGCCGGCGTGCTCCATTTAGTGGGCGGCGCCCAGCCGGTAGTTGGCATGTTCGAGGATCACTGGATGATCGAGTTTCGCCGCATGCCAGCAAACTTTACGCATCGCATCAATCGCTTGAGCTTCGGCCAATACTCGCGTCGCATCGTCCAGCCGCTGGAAGGTGACGAGACGATCATACGGGAGGAGGCCACCACGGTGCAGTATTTCATCAAGGTGGTGCCGACGGAGATACGGCATACGTTTAGCACCATCAGCACATTCCAATATGCTGTCACCGAGAACGTACGCAAGCTAGGCAAGTGCTGATGCAGTGCATCCTCTCGTCCTTCCATCACCATAACTCGTTTACCATTTACAGATGCGGAGCGCAATTCGTACGGCTCGCCTGGTATTTACTTCAAGTACGATTGGTCTGCCTTGAAAATTGTGGTTAGCCACGATCGTGACAATTTGGTGACATTTGTCATACGGCTCTGCTCCATTATATCGGGCATTATTGTCATCTCTGGCGCTGTCAATGCGCTGCTGGTGGCCATCCAGCGGCGTCTGCTGCGCATGTTTGCGCCGCAGCTCTATCAGCGGCTACCGGGCGCCACTCCGCCCCCGCCAGCCCCACCGGCGCCAGTCAGCAGCGTGCCAATGCCCGCCAACGACCTGCTCAACACGGCCAATCTGATGGCCAATGTGGATATATCCGCCTATCTGCCAACAGCCATGGCGGCCAACAAGTCAGACATCTAGCCGGGCCACACTCGCCCCACTCGCAATCTCCGTTCAAAGCACTCTCAATTCACTCTCCTCTACTACAATGCCACAAATTTATTGTCTCATAAGATTAAGCAGCAAAAGTGAATTTTTACAGTTGTACATACTTAAAAAACACATGTTATATATATATATATGTATATTATTAAAAACATAACACGTACATACATATATATTTAATAATATATATCGATATATGTATAGAACGTGGTTTACTGCTCGTGCCCCAGTATGCCCGTGTCCAGGTTGCTGTAATGCCGCGCACCCGAGCGCCGGTAGCCGAACATGCTCTTCAGTATCTCGAGGGCCGAGTCGACTGTGGTGCGCACATCCTGCGGGGTGCCCAGCTTCGGATTGATCTCCACAATGTCCATGCCCTGGACACGCTTGGTGTCGCGCAGCGCCTCCACAATGCTGATGCCCTCGCGCAGCGTTAGGCCGGCCCGGACGGCGGTGCCCGTGCACGGCGCCACATTGCTGTCCAGCGCATCGATGTCGAAGCTCACATGGATCTTGTTTTGCGTGTCGAGTGCGTCCAGCGTCATCTCAATGACCTTGGGCACGCCCATGCGATCGATCGACTGTTATCAGAAGAGAAATTCATTCATAAATATCTGTTTGTTTATATTTTGTGAGCAATATTAGTTTAACGCATTTGCAATACCCTACACTGTGGGGACTATGGCTACAGCAGATGTTTGGTATGGTAGAAATATTGTGTTTTTTTTTTTTTTTTTTTTTTTTTTTTATTTTAACTATTTTATGAGAGATATAGATAAATATTGTGTGTTTTTTTAACTATTTTATGAGAGGTAAGTTCTTTGAAGAGTAAACAATTTTTTAAAGTTTGTAAATGTCATAAATCAAAAATAGTGCACTATAATAAATATATTTTGTTTAGAAATATGCAATTATGGAAAACAAAAATCCTTGATATGAATCAATTATAATATCAATATTTTACTCTGATTCACGAACAATATGATTTTATTATTATCTACTTTAATATTAGTATTATTATTATAATTATTATTGTTATTCTTATTTAATATTATTATTATTTTTTTTTTTTTAGTTTCTTTATTATTATTATAGATATTTTGTTAATAATTTTTCATATATTTCAAAACGAATATATGCATATTATTTATATATACTTGATCATTTGCTGAATCATCGGTTGCATGATCTCAAAATGCGTTGTTCATGGCATAACTGAAACATACGCTAAAATTGCCTTGGACGCGAAAGCTTCATTTCTAACGGGACTCCAAGCTCAGCTCAGCTCAGCTGCATTTCGATTGGCGCGGCGATCATTCGAACGCCATTTGCCAAAAACGAACCAAGTACAGCCAACGGAGTTGTTCCTCTTTTTCTTTTCATTCTTTTTTTTTTTTTTTGTTCTGTTTGGCACATTTTGGGCCGAACTAATGAGTTGTAATAAATTTGCAGCTCGGGTACATTTAGCATTAAACCATTTTTCAACAGACGTCGATTTAGCACGAGCCATAAATTAAGGCTGGCAACAAGGACACGCCGGATACGATGCGAACGGATGTGGCCGGGCACGTATGTGGCAACAACCACCGATCGGAAGCTATACGACAGCGCGAATGTAACGTGAAATTTGAATGGAGGGGGTATGAGTACGGGTACGAAGGGAGGTTGGTAGGGACTGGCAGAGTCAGCTGGAGGGTAGGTGGGCAGCTAGGGAGTGTCCTGTAACTTTGCCGGCTGCAGAAGGGTGCAACTAGATTCGATTTTTCATACCATACCGACAACCCCTATAAATGCCGAGCTTACATTTACAACACTTACACACACACACATACACACACACACATACACACACACACACACACACATTAAGAGTGAGGTAGAGTGCGAGAGAAACTAGAGCCAGAATATGTAATGTGTCGAGGCTCTCACGCACGATCGTCATTTGATACTCTGGGCTACCGACAAACCGGAATTTTAAAATGTTTTACAACTGCCACGTAAGGCAGGCCCGAAACTCTGTGTGCGTGTGTATCCACCCATTCTACTTACATCCATGGCATAGTAGCGTATTCCAAATTTATTCAATATGAACGCCTCGTAGGGGTCAATGTCCCTCAAGCCAATGTAAACCAATTGATCCTTCGACAAACTGAAATTAGTCACAAAGAAAAGAATTGAGTGTGAGAAAGAGAAAGAAAAAAGGGAGTAAGAGAAGGAGAGAGAGAGAGGGAGGCGCTGTTAAGGAGATTGGGTGAAGAGGTAAGGAGGGAGGGGGAGCACAGCTGAAGTACGCCTGAAGCCCAACAACAGCACTGCGCTTTTAGGTTATGTTTAAGTTGACGATGCATTTGTGTGAGGTTATGTTGTTTCTCAGGCTGGAATAAGTTAGAAACAATTCCTTGATCTCAGAAACATTTATGGGAAAGAGAAAGCAGGCAGGGAGAGGATAGAGAGGAAGATAAAGAGCGAAAGAAGATAGTGGAGAAAAAGAGGAAGTAGAGCAAGAGGTAACAGGAAGGAGAGAGTAGAGAGTGGAGAAAAAGAGAGGAGAGGGAAAGTGGAAATCAAGACATAGGGAAAAAGGGGAGTAGAGACAGAGAAAAACTGGGAAGAAACTGCTGAGATGGTGAAACTAAGAGAGAGTGGATTGAAGGAAAGAGAGAGAGATAAAGTGGAAAGATAGAGAATGGAGTGAAAGATAGAGACGGGGAGGCTGAGAATGATTGAATGAGAATAATTAAGAAAAAAAAACAGAGAAAGAGAGAGGGAGACAGCAAAGAGACTTATTAAGAGAGATGATGAGAAAGATAAAAGGAAAGAGAGAGAGAGAGAGAGAGAGAGAGCTATTTCTATTAAATTGTTTTCATCTAATCCCAGCTTAGCTTTTAATCTCATGTAAACTAGGCTTGGTCTTTTTTTCGGAATATACAAAGTTGTTGGGGAATTAGACGCGACAGACAGAAAGGAAATAGGGAAGTGAGAAACGGAGAGGGTGGGCGACTGAGGTAGACGGATAGGAAGAAGCAGAAACGAAAACACATGCCACAATCAAAATGGCACTGCAGCGTATCCTGCACCCCTCTGCATGCTGCGTGCCGGTTTCTCACCCTCGGCGATCGGGAGCGAGAGCGAATTCTCGGTGTCTTATGGTAATTTTTACGATTATTATTATTATTATTATTATTATTTTTTTTTTTTTTTGTATGGTTCGGGAGAAATTGCATCTGTCGATCGTGCGCTGTGCAGCGAGACGTGCAAAGTTGAAAACACCCTGAAGGACCCTTATGTAAATGTAAATGTGCCCAAGGCAACTCACCTCGCTTCCACAGCAAGGGAGGGGGATGTGTGTCCATCTGTCTGTCTGTCTGTCAGCCTGTCTTTGTGTGTGGTTCAGATGAATCAAGCCATAGCTGGGACCCGTTTGGCCAGTCTGATCCTGCGGAGCCGTAGACTGATTGGTGCAGCGCCTGCAGCAATGCTGGATATTGTTTTTAATTTTTTTTTATATTGTTGTTTGTTTAAATTCTAAATCAGTTAAGGGTGCGCCTCTTGTGCTGCAACCCCCAAATAAAAACAAAAATCAAGAGAAAATATTGATGTTCTTTGTTTCTATCATCTTGCGTCCGCTGCTTTTTTAATCCGGCTTTGTTGTAATATGCCAGAGCCAAAGGATTAGGCTTACTCTCCTCCCCATTCCCATTCGCCTAACCTTTCCCTTCCCTTTAGCCCTTTTGTATTCAACGGGCCAGAGTCGCAGACATTTGGATTTTGCAAAAGTCTGGCAACATTGCAAAACTGCTGCATACTGCGTGGCGCCGGCAATGACCGAGAGCGGGGGAGAGAGAGAGAGAGAGAGACAAACTGAAATCCAAGCACGTGGCCAGAGTCTACACGGCGAACACCCACACACATACGCACACACGCGCGCTTACACTCTCACACATGGTGAACGGCAGAAATTGGCGCAAATTAGCTATTATCACAAAAACTTATCGTCATGGAAATAAATACTTATGTGTATGTGTGTGTGTGTGTGCACGTTTGTATATGTGAAGGGTCACATGGGTTACCACTGAGACATTATTATGTATAAAAATGTATATAAAATTCCATTTTAATTGCTTTAATAAATATATAAAAATACTTATTTAAAATTTAAATTTATATTGCAATTGCTTCAAAAATAAATTTGTATTAAATATTTGATAGTATATATCGAAAGAAAATCATTTGGAAATACCATTTGGATTATAGAGCTATATATGTACATATAGAACGAATCCTAAAGCAAGCTAAAATAGTTACTCAAAGCAGCTGAAGTATACGAAGTATATTTATCTCCTATAGCCCCAGAGCTACTACTAAAGAACTGTCTTCAAGTACTTTCACTTGAATTGAATTATCAAAGAATTTATCATTTAACGAATGTATTTCGAGCTTGGAAAAAAGTATTTAAGCGAACTGAAAGTAGATACAAATAAAATTTAAATATTAAATAAAGAATTCCTATTTATTTTGTATCCACTTTCATAAAAGGAACTCAAAGATGACTCTATATATTTCTATACATATATATTATTAAATTCTATATATATATATAATATTAGTAAATATATAAATTAAGCTTATCTTGGACAGGATACGGCAACGGGCGAGCACTTGCACGTCACCGATCAGTCTCGTTTGGCCACCCCCCTTTTGGCCACGACAATGACAATGGCCATGGCAACGGCAACGGCGCCGGCTTACCGTCTGGCAACCCAAATCTCGTAAAAACCACCCCAGCTGTAAAAAGTTGAGTTACATTTTGATGTTTCGCGAGCGACGACAAAAAGAATAACAATGTGTTCACTGTGTGTAAATTGGAACAGACAGGCGGCGGCACATTTGTAATGTTGTGCCATACAAATCAGCACATGGTAACCGGTGGACAACAGCAGCAGCAGCAGCAGCAGCAGCAGAACAGGAAGCATACATGCATACAAACATATATACATACGTAGGATATGATGAATACAAGCGCAATTAAGCACACGCACGCACGCACGCATGCACGCTTGCCAAAAACCCAGCCCATGTCGAAACACTCGCTAGACAGGCGATTGCCATCGAGTTAGGGGGTGTACGCTGTACAGAAAACAACCCCAGCGTTGGTGGTGGCAGTGCAAAACAGCCACAGACACACACACACACAGACACACATGCAGCAAGCATGACAAACAGCCCTCGCGGTTGGCAAGGATAATGTGCAGGCAAAGAAAGAGACACGGAGAGAGAGACTAGCCAGCATATAAGCTGCATCATAAAACGGTTGACGACCTCATATTGAATTTTACTTTTTTTTTCATTTCAAGAATAAAAAAAAAAAACAAATATACAAAAAGAAAATAAAAATTGCAATATTATTCGAAAGATGATTAGAATTTAAATTCTAACGCAATTTTGCCATTCACTCAATGCTCTGTTGTGCAACATTCTGGCAACACTTTTTGGACAGTTTTCAGGCGACTGTGGGCGTATGTTTGCATGCTTGCTAGCATACATACATATGTACATATATACATATGTATATATTTCCAGGCTGTTGGAACGGCACCTCCATGAACACCGCCATTTTGATTTTTACTCACGAGCAAATATACATATGTATGTAGTTTTTTTTCTTTTTTATATTATGGTAATACTTCTTTGGGCGCTAAAATTTGAAATGTTTGTTACAATGCCGCTGCTGCAAAAATACATTTTGTCTGACCATATTTAATTCAACCGCGAGCATTCGGAAATATTGGTATCGTAAGGAGAATCCCTATAGCCAATCACCCACCAATAGCACTCGGGTTAACGAAGTTAGGCGATTTTCCAGAGAAAGGAACCGATTACCTGAGAGAGTGCATAATTCGGAGAGTAAAACTCGTATTGAGCATACAAAATACGAAAACAAAGCAAGAAAAATAACAACAGCAGCAGCAGCAACAACAATAATAATAAAAAAAAAAGAAAACGGTCAAACTCGCTTCCCCTTGATCATACGTTCTGAGTGCTCTCGGTCTCGCTCTCGCTCTCGTTTCGTACAACTCAACACATGCACATACATATGTACATACTACGTTGCGAGTATGCGTCTGTATGGTGTATGGGGTAGCAAGCTTTGTGTTGGTTGTGCTCGCATTCGCGTAATTTTCATTTCTACGCTAGACGTTGTCCGCCGCAGTACGTTTAAATGCTCGTGTGCGCTGCCTCAGCTCGTGTGCTCAGCTCATTTTGCAATTGATTTTTTATTTTTTTTTTTGAAAAAGTAATGAAAATACCGACAAGAGTATTCAATTGTTTAAACAAAATATAAGCATTGCCATAGAAAACTACGTGAAGTGCAAGAACAAAAACAACAACTAGAAAATACCACCAAAAAATTCTCATCATCAACAACAACACAACAGTAGCAGCCGCAGCCGCAACCAAACGTAAGAGTAACGTATAACAGCGACAACAAGAAAAAAACGCTACCAAGAAATAAAATGCTACGAAAATTGCCAAACGACCACTACGCGCTGCATAATTGTGCAATTATATATACATGCATAAATATATATGTATTTTTTTTCTTGTGTGTGTGAAACAGTTTGATACATGCATGCTAAAATGCAAAATTATAATATGCACTGGGTATGGAGGAAAAATGTAGGCAAGACGCACGACTACAAACGGCAGCGTCAAACAGTTCAACAAACTCAAAAGACTGGCAAAGAGGCAAACAAACGATCAGTGTCGGGGGTCGGCAGGGCTGAAAGACGGAACAAAATTAGTAGTAAAGCAGTCGTAGTAAAGTATTAGTAGTAGTTTGTTTAAGTTGTTGTGCGTTCAAATCTACTGCTAAATGCCGCAGTGCTGCTGCCATCGTAGTCGTTCTTTCTCTCTCTGTCTCTGTGCTGTGTATCTGTAAAACGGTTTTTCTATGTGAGCGAGTGTATGTCTGTGTGTACACTGCTGCTGTGTGTCTGAGTAGCTGTGTGAGTGGCAAAAAGGGCGCAGCTAGCATATCGATTTTATGTGCAGGAAGAGAAGCAAGCATTGTAAGCCGACAACTACAACTAAAACTGCAGCAGCGGTGGCAAATAGTAGTAGACTTGGAGCACACTTCATTTTCCATTC